TAGCTTTTATTGTCAACATTTACAGTTAAGGATCCGTAGCTTTATTGACAAGCTTTTACAGGTTAAGGATCCGTAGCTTTATTGACAAGCTATTTACAGGTTAAGGATCCGTAGCTTTATTGACAAGCTATTTACAGGTTAAGGATCCCTAGCTTTATTGACAAGCTATTTACAGGTTAAGGATCCATAGCTTTAATGACAAGCTATTTACAGGTTAAGGATCCGTAGCTTTATTGACAAGCTATTTACAGGTTAAGGATCCCTAGTTTTATTGACAAGCTATTTACAGGTTAAGGATCCCTAGCTTTATTGACAAGCTATTTACAGGTTAAGGATCCCTAGCTTTATTGACAATCTATTTACAGGTTAAGGATCCCTAGCTTTATTGACAAGCTATTTACAGGTTAAGGATCCCTAGCTTTATTGACAAGCTATTTACAGGTTAAGGATCCCTAGTTTTATTGACAAGCTATTTACAGGTTAAGGATTCCTGACTTTATTGGCAAGCTAAGAGCTGTTACCTACATCAGCTCATATGAAAGCATTTTTATTGTTATGAGACATACAAGTAGGGAAGAGGATGAAGTTGGAGCCATCTAGACTCTCGTCCAGTTCTAATGCTAATTTATGTTATTGTAATCGTAGTTTTAAGCTTTTCCCAATTTTTATTTTATAGTAAATAAACTTCTAATTAGAAGTTATTTTACTATATCAAGATTTTTAAATACAACTTTGATTTAAAAACTCTTAAATAAAGTATATCAAGAAAGTTTTCATGATAAGAGAGAACCAACAAATTCTTGGTTGAATATGACTCTCCTTTTTAAGATTTGTAAAAAGTAATTCTAGCCATTTTAAAGTATTTTTCTCATTCTTTCTGAATGAGAATTCAGAAAGTTTACCTTTATCGTCTGAAGAATAATAGTGCAAATAAGAAGTTATATGTTGGTTTTATGTATATTTTGAGTTTAAAATCATGGTTCCCTTTAATAATTAAAATATCTAAAAAAGGCAATGAGTTATATTGCTCAAACTCAACAGTAAAATTTATGGAATGAGATAGACTATTTAATTCAACAAGAAAATGGTTTCTATTATCTTAGGCATTAGACATAAAACCTTACCAACATATCTGTACCACTTAGGTCTACTGGGTATGATTTTGTTAACCAATCTTGTTTCAAAATATTCCATGTACAAACTGATAAGGATATGTGAGAGAGAATTTCCCATTGCAATAACGCAATATTTATCGAAATTATAACAAACTATATTTCGATAAATATATCGAAATATACTAGGGAATAGCTTGTCTCTTTTCTACGTGAGTCGGCAGCTTAAAGTTATCTCAAATATTAACAGTAATGTTGACTGGAAGCATCGTCAAAGATGAGGTGTGATATTTAGCATGTGTTGCCTTGTTTGCTGTCAGTCTGCCTTGTCATGTTAAGTGAAAATGTGTGGCAGTAGTAAGTTGAAGAGAGATTTCCTCACAACCGAAGGATCCAGGTTGAATCCTGGGCGAAGTGAGACATGTAAGTGACGTTACCTAAATGAGGACAATAAAAATTAGCCACACTGTTTAACTGTCTTCAGTTATCCTGGATAATTAAGCCTCTGGAATTACTAATCCTTAAGAGGACTTCACCCTCTATCCCTTTTCTTCCCTTGATGATCGGTAGAGACGTCTTCCATCACGACATCCTGTGACTTCATAGATAAAGTGACGTCATAGACGAAACATTTCATTCTCCCGTATTCTCCAACTAACCTATTCCTCACCTAATACACACACACACATACATATATGTGTGTGTGTGTACTCACTCACCTATTCGTACTCACCTATTTGTGGTTGCAGGGGTCGAGTCCTAGCTCCTGGCCCCGCCTCTTCACCGGTTGCTACTGTGTGTGTGTGTGTGTGTGTATTAGGTGAGAAGAGGATCGTGGAAAACAGGACTGTATTTAGTATATAAGAGAGACGTTGTGGTCGCCTGTGCCAGACTTCCTGGAGCCTCAGTGTGGTGTACACTGTTACTCTCTCCTCACATTATGAAGGTAAGGTACGCCACCCTTGCTCACCTCATCACAAGTGTTTCGGAGTGGTTAGTGATTTTATGTAATGTATAGATGAGGGTAAGGTACCTTGGGACTGGCAGAGAGGAAGCATAGTTCCTTTGTATAAAGGTAAAAGGAACAAAACAGTGTAAAAGTTATAGGCTGGTAATGAGATTCACCAAGACTGCTGGATTGAACACTTCACTTCGGCTCACTCTTTTGTACTAGGCTGAAGAAGCCTACTGAGTAGGCGAAGCTTTTCGGAATAAAGATACCCCACTGTTGCACATGTGTTTTATCAAACTGTTGGTACTGTATACCATTTTAATATTCACTTCAATGCTGAGGGACTGATCACCTCAAACTATTTCTTCATGTATTAATATTGGTAGAATAACCGACAATATGTTAGATTAAAGGATACATGTGCAACTAATGCGACATTTTACCGTGGAAACGTTTCGCCCTCCAGAAACTTTGCCAAGACGTTAAAAACAATACAGGGACTGTCTCTGGTATTCTGTGTATAATACTGATAACAGTCCACAAATAACTCGGGTTATTTGTTCATTGTTCCAGTTACGGTATTGTTCCATTTTGTTCTTGATACGTTCACTGGTTAGTGAAATGTCTCTACGAGAAAGATACTGTATATGTGTCTTATTCATCCACACAAGTGTAAACTTGATTTAGTCATAGGTGTAACACCTCCACTCACTCGGGAAAACACCTCCGGGTTGAAGACTTAGACACATGTGCAACGTTTGGGTATTTTTATCTGTCTTTATTAATGCAAATTAGACGACATAACTGAAGAACAATAGACATATGTACGAAAGACGAGGTAATGGACTACTAGGACAGATGTTGTGCTTCTTCCTTAAGTGACTGTGACCTGACCTGATTAAGTTAAGGCATTGGCTAAAGCCGGTGGGAGAATTGGACTTGCCTCTCATGGGCCAGTAGGCCTGCTGCAGTGTTCCTTATTTCTTATATTCTTATTTTCTTATCAGTCCCTTAGCCTTGGAGTTGGTAAAGAATCTGAAGACTCGTCAAGACTACGGTGCTCTTCACCAACTTTAAGACTGAGGGACTGAGGAAATGGTATGGTGATACCGACAAGATGTGGAAAAAGACACTTATGTACAGTTCAGGACATTTATTAAAGGAAACGTTTCGCCACGAGTGGCTTCTTCAGTCCTAATATTAGGACTGAAGAAGCCTCTCGTGGCGAAACGTTTCCTTTAATAAATGTCCTGAACTGTACATAAGTGTCTTTTTCCACACTGAGGGACTGATTACCTCATCTTTTGTATACAACTCTACTGTCTTCCAATTACGTCCTTGAATTTGTATTGATAAAGCCACTGGAGGACGAAACATCTACAGTAAAGATACCCGGATGCTGCACATGTATATAAATTTACATCTGAACTTGTCCCAACTTCAGAGTTCATGGAACGAAGTTCGGGAAATCTGAACAATGTACCTGAGAACATAAGAAAGGAGGAACACTTCAGCAGGCCTGCTGGCCCATTCTAGGCAGTCCTTCACAATCCATCCACTACTTCAGATATATGGCAGACGTGGCCAAGAAAATTTTCGTTCTTCAACTCATTATTAAAGTGGTCCAAAACGTGTCGTCTTAACTACGAACTAAGAACGTTAGCTTTTTAACGTACAGAAAAGGATTTAGCGCTAAATCTTCACTAGAACGAAATACAAAGGTGACACCAGTCAGTGCTGACACTAGTGATATATACCAGTCAGTGCTGACACTAGTGAAATATACCAGTCAGTGCTGACACTAGTGATATATACCAGTCAGTGCTGACACTAGTGATATATACCAGTCAGTGCTGACACCAGTGATATATACCAGTCAGTGCTGACACTAGTGATATACACCAGTCAGTGCTGACACTAGTGATATATACCAGTCAGTGCTGACACTAGTGATATATATATCATTCAGTGCTGACACCAGTGAAATATACCAGTCAGTGCTAACACTAGTGATATACACCAATCAGTGCTGACACTAGTGATATATACCAGTCAGTGCTGACACCAAGTGATATATACCAGTCAGTGCTGACACAGTGAATATATACCAGTCAGTGCTGACACTAGTGATATATGCATGTCAGTGGCTGACACTAGGAAATATACCAGTCAGTGCTGACACTAGTGATATATATCATTCAGTGCTGACACTAGTGAAATATACCAGTCAGTGCTGACACTAGTGATATATATCATTCAGTGCTGACACTAGTGAAATATACCAGTCAGTGCTGACACTAGTGATATATATCATTCAGTGCTGACACTAGTGAAATATACCAGTCAGTGCTGACACTAATGATATATACCAGTCAGTACTGACACTAGTGATATACACCAGTCAGAGCTGACACTAGTGATATACACCAGTCAGTGCTAACACTAGTGATATACACCAGTCAGTGCTGACACTACTGATATATACCAGTCAGAGCTGACACTAGTGATATACACCAGTCAGTGCTGACACTAGTGATATACACCAGTACTGACACTAGTGATATACACCAGTCAGTGCTGACACTAGTGATATACACCAGTCAGAGCTGACACTAGTAATAACACCAGTCAGTGCTAACACTAGTGATATACACCAGTCAGTGCTGACACTACTGATATATACCAGTCAGAGCTGACACTAGTGATATACACCAGTCACTGCTGACACTAGTGAGATACACTATCAGTGATGATGCTAGTGAGATACACTGTCAGTGCTGACGCTAGTGAGACTGTCGGTGCTGATACCAGTGATAAACACCAGTCAGTGCTGACACTAATGACATACACCAGTCAGTGCTGACACTAATGATATACGCCAGTCAGTGCTGACACTAGTAATATACATCATTCAGTGCTGATACTAGTGAGATACAATGTCAGTGCTGACACGAGTGAGATACACTGTCAGTGCTGACACTAGTGAGACTGTCAATACTGACAATGGAGAGACTCTCAGTGCTGACACTAGTGAGACTGTGAGTGCTGACACTAGTGAGACTGTGAGTGTTAACACCAGTGAGATACAACTGTCAGTGCTGACACTAATGAGATGCAACTGTCAGTCCTGACACTAGTGAGATTCAACCGTCAGTGCTGACACTAGTAAGACTGTCAGTGCTGACACTAGTGAAACTCTCAGTGCTGACACTAGTGAGAATGTCAGTGCTGACACTAGTGAGACTGTCAGTGCTGATACTAGAGAGATACAACTGTCAGTGCTGACGCTAGTGAGATACAAATGTCAGTGCTGACACTAGTGAGATACAATTGTCAGTGCTGACACAAGTGAGATACAACTGTAAATGCTGACACTAGTGAGATACAGCTGTCAGTGCTGACACTAGTGAGACTGTCATTGCTGACACTAGTGAGATACAACTGTCAGTTCTGACACCCTAGTGAGACTGCCAGTGCTGACACTAGTAAGACACAACTGTCGGTGCTGACACTAGTGAGACTGTCAGTGCTGACACTAGTGAGACTGTCAGTGCTGACACTAGTGAGATACAACTGTCAGTGCTGACTAGTGAGATATCCTGTCAGTGCTGACGCTAGATACACTGTCAGTCCTGACGCTAGTGAGATACACTCATTGCTGACACTAGTGAAACCCACTGTCAGTGCTGACACTAGTGAGACACACTGTCAGTGCTGACAATAGTGAGACACACTGTCAGTGCTGACAATAGTGAGACACACTGTCAGTGCTGACACTAGTGAGACACTGTCAGTGCTGACACTAGTGAGACACACTGTCAGTGCTGACACTAGTGAAACACACTGTCAGTGCTGACACTAGTGAGACACACTGTCAGTGCTGACACTAGTGAAACACACGTCATGCTGACACTAGTGAGAACAAAACTGTCAGTGCTGACAATAGTGAGACACACTGTCAGTGCTGACAATAGTGAGACACACTGTCAGTGCTGACACTAGTGAGACACACTGTCAGTGCTGACACTAGTGAGACACTGTCAGTGCTGACAATAGTGATATACTGTCAGTGCTGACACTAGTGAGACAAACTGTCAGTGCTGACACTAGTCTTAACCTTGCTTCAAGCATGGTCGAAACGTTCTACATAACTGGTATAAGCTGCAGAACAATCCCTACAAGAGAGAATTTTTTAACAACGACGTTTGGGTCCATCCTTCACAACATAAAGATCAAGAATGGTCCGAAACTTCCTCAAATATATTATGCATTAATTTGCATACTATATTCGGCCTCTGTCATTGTTCATAAGTATCTGTAATTTTGTATTACATTTTATTACTATTCTTTCTTAATTCTTTCAATACACGTATCCCACGAGGCGGGGTGTGCCAAAAAAAAAATAAAGTTTCATTTTTATAATTATAATATTACAGGGAAGGGTTTACTGCCCCTTGCTCCCGCATTTTAGTCGCCTTTAAACAGCATGGCTTACGGAGGAAGAATTTTTCCACTTCCCATGGAGGTTTATTACCATCTATGTATATTTCTTAGTATTATTATAGTTATCAGTATTTCACCATTATTAGTATTTTTTTTAGTTCACTTTGTAGGTAGTAGGTTGGTAGACAGCAACCACCCAGGGAGGTACTACCGTCCTGTGGTAGTAGGTTGGTAGACAGCAACCACCCAGGGAGGTACTACCGTCCTGTGGTAGTAGGTTGGTAGACAGCAACCACCCAGGGAGGTACTACCGTCCTGTGGTAGTAGGTTGGTAGACAGCAACCACCCAGGGAGGTACTACCGTCCTGTGGTCGTAGGTTGGTAGACAGCAACCACCCAGGGAGGTACTACCGTCCTGTGGTAGTAGGTTGGTAGACAACAACCACCCAGGGAGGTACTACGTCCTGTGGGTAGTAGGTTGGTAGACAGCAACCACCCAGGGAGGTACTACCGTCCTGTGGTAGTAGGTTGGTAGACAGCAACCACCCAGGGAGGTACTACCGTCCTGTGGTAGTAGGTTGGTAGACAGCAACCACCCAGGGAGGTACTACCGATCTGTGGTAGTAGGTTGGTAGACAGCAACCACCCAGGGAGGTACTACCATCCTGTGGTAGTAGGTTGGTAGACAGCAACCACCCAGGGAGGTACTACCGTCCTGTGGTAGTAGGTTGGTAGACAGCAATCACCCAGGGAGGTACTACCGTCCTGTGGTAGTAGGTTGGTAGACAGCAACCACCCAGGGAGGTACTACCGTCCTGTGGTAGTAGGTTGGTTGACAGCAACCACCCAGGGAGGTACTACCGTCCTGTGGTAGTAGGTTGGTAGACAGCAACCACCCAGGGAGGTACTACCGTCCTGTGGTAGTAGGTTGGTAGACAGCAACCACCCAGGGAGGTACTACCGTCCTGTGGTAGTAGGTTGGTAGACAGCAACCACCCAGGGAGGTACTACCGTCCTGTGGTAGTAGGTTGGTAGACAGCAACCACCCAGGGAGGTACTACCGTCCTGTGGTAGTAGGTTGGTAGACAGCAACCACCCAGGGAGGTACTACCGTCCTGTGGTAGTAGGTTGGTAGTCAGCAACCACCCAGGGAGGTACTACCGTCCTGTGGTAGTAGGTTGGTAGACAGCAACCACCCAGGGAGGAACTACCATCCTGTGGTAGTAGGTTGGTAGACAGCAACCACCCAGGGAGGTACTACCGTCCTGTGGTAGTAGGTTGGTAGACAGCAACCACCCAGGGAGGTACTACCGTCCTGTGGTAGTAGGTTGGTAGACAGCAACCACCCAGGGAGGTACTACCGTCCTGTGGTAGTAGGTTGGTAGACAGCAACCACCCAGGGAGGTACTACCTCCTGTGGTAGTAGGTTGGTAGACAGCAACCACCCAGGGAGGTACTACCATCCTGTGGTAGTAGGTTGGTAGACAGCAACCACCCAGGGAGGTACTACCATCCTGTGGTAGTAGGTTGGTAGACAGCAACCACCCAGGGAGGTACTACCATCCTGTGGTAGTAGGTTGGTAGACAGCAACCACCCAGGGAGGTACTACCATCCTGTGGTAGTAGGTTGGTAGACAGCAACCACCCAGGGAGGTACTACCATCCTGTGGTAGTAGGTTGGTAGACAGCAACCACCCAGGGAGGTACTACCGTCCTGTGGTAGTAGGTTGGTAGACAGCAACCACCCAGGGAGGTACTACCGTCCTGTGGTAGTAGGTTGGTAGTCAGCAACCACCCAGGGAGGTACTACCGTCCTGTGGTAGTAGGTTGGTAGACAGCAACCACCCAGGAGGAACTACCTCCTGTGGTGTAGGTTGGTAGACAGCAACCACCCAGGGAGGTACTACCGTCCTGTGGTAGTAGGTTGGTAGACAGCAACCACCCAGGGAGGTACTACCGTCCTGTGGTAGTAGGTTGGTAGACAGCAACCACCCAGGGAGGTACTACCGTCCTGTGGTAGAGTTGGTAGACAGCAAACCCAGGGAGGTTCTACCATCCTGGTGGATAGTAGGTTGTTTAGCCAGCAAACACCCAGGTGAGGTATACATCTGTGGTAGTATGTTGTAGACAGCAACCACCCAGGTAGGTACTACACTCTGTGTAGTAGGTTAGTGACAGCAAACACTAGGGATGTACTACCATCTGTGGTAGTAGGTTGGTAGACAGCAACCTACCAGGGAGGTCTACCATCTGTGGTAGTAGGTTGTAGACAGCAACCTTTCCCAGGGGTACTAGCCATGCTGTGTAGTGAGGTTGCCGGAGACAGGGCAAACCCACCCAGGAGGTACTACGTCTTGGTAAGTAGGTTGGTAGACAGCAACCACTCTAGGGGAGGTACTGATCCGTCATGTGTAGTGGTTGGATAGAAGCAACCACCCAGGATGACTACCGTCCTGATGTTAGTGAAGACAGCAACCACCCAGGGAGGTACTACCTCCGTAGTAGTAGTTGGTAGACAGCAACCACCCAGGGAGATACTACTCGTGGTAGTAGGTTGGTAGACAGCAACCACCCAGGGAGGTACTACCGTCCTGTGGTAAGTAGGTGTTGGTAGACAGCAACCACCCAGGAGGTACTACCGTCCTGTGGTAGTAGGTTGGTAGACAGCAACCACCCAGGGAGGTACTACCGTCCTGTGGTAGTAGGTTGGTAGACAGCAACCACCCAGGGAGGTACTACCGTCCTGTGGTAGTAGGTTGGTACACAGCAACCACCCAGGGAGGTACTACCGTCCTGTGGTAGTAGGTTGGTAGACAGCAACCACCAGGGAGGTACTACCGTCCTGTGGTAGTAGGTTGGTAGACAGCAACCACCCAGGGAGGTACTACCGTCCTGTGGTAGTAGGTTGGTAGACAGCAACCACCCAGGGAGGTACTACCGTCCTGTGGTAGTAGGTTGGTAGACAGCAACCACCCAGGGAGGTACTACCGTCCTGTGGTCGTAGGTTGGTAGACAGCAACCACCCAGGGAGGTACTACCGTCCTGTGGTCGTAGGTTGGTAGACAGCAACCACCCAGGGAGGTACTACCGTCCTGTGGTAGTAGGTTGGTAGACAGCAACCACCCAGGGAGGTACTACCATCCTGTGGTAGTAGGTTGGTAGACAGCAACCACCCAGGGAGGTACTACCGTCCTGCCAGGAGACTGTAAAACAGAAACCTGTAAATGTTTTACATGATGGTAGGATTGCTGGTGTCTCTTTCTGTCTCATAAACACGCTGGATAACAGGTATATCTTGCTACTTCTGTTTACACTTGGGTCATGCTACACTAGTATGCACATACATATGTATACATACACACATCTAGGGTTTTTCTTCTTTATCTTAATAGTTCTTGTTCTTGTTTTTTTCCTCTCTATTGTCCATGTGGAAGTGATAAAGAATCTTTCCTCCGTAAGCCATGCGTGTTGTATGAGGCGACTAAAATGCCGGGAGCAATGGGCTAGTAACCCCATCTCCTATACACATTTATTAAAAATCGGAAGAAGAAAAACTTTCTAAAGTTGGGATGCTTGAATGTGCATGGATGTAGTGTGGATGATAAGAAAGAGATGATTCCTGATGTTATGAATGAAAAGAAGTTGGATGTCCTGGCCCTAAGCGAAACAAAGCTGAAAGGGGTAGGAGAGTTTCAGTGGGGAGAAATAAATGGGATTAAGTCAGGAGTAGCTGAGAGAGTTAGCGCTAAGGAAGGGGTAGCAATAATGTTGAAGGACAAGTTATGGAACGAGAAGAGGGAATATAAATGTGTAAATTCAAGAATTATGTGGATTAAAATAAGGGTCGGATGTGAAAAGTGAGTCATAATAAGCGTGTATGCACTTGGAGAAGAGAGGAGTGCAGAAGAGAGAGAGAGAGATTTTGGGAGGTGTTAAGCCAAGTGAGAGAGTAATTGTGGTAGGGGACCTAAATGCTAAAGTAGGAGAAGCATTTAGAGAGGGTGTGGTAGGTAAGTTTGGGGTGCCAGGTGTAAATGATAATGGGAGCCCTTTGATTGAACTTTGTATAGAAAGGGGTTTAGTTATAAGTAATACGTATTTTAAGAAATAGAGGATAAATAAGTATACAAGATATGATGTAGGGCGAAATGACAGTAGTATGTTGGACTATGTATTGGTAGATAAAAGATTGTTGAGTAGACTTCAGGATGTATACGTTTATAGAGGGGCCACAGATATATCAGATCACTTTCTAGTTTTAGCTACAGTGAGAGTAAAAGGTAGATGGAATACAAGGTATATAGAAGTGGCAAGTAAGAGAGAGGTGAAGGTGTATAACCTAAAAGAGGAGGCAGTTAGGGTAAGATATAAATAACTATTGGAGGATAGATGGGCTAGTGAGAGTATAGGCAATGAGGTCGAAGATGTTTGGGGTAGGTTTAAGAATGTAGTGTTAGAGTGTTCAGCAGAAGTTTGTTGTTACAGGAAAGTGGGTGCGGGAGGGAAGAAGAGCGATTGGTGGAATGATGCTGTAAAGAGAGTAGTAAGGGAGAAAAAGTTAGCATACGAGAAGATTTTACAAAGTAGAAGTGATGCAAAGAGGGAAGAGTATATGGAAAGAAACAGAGAGGTTAAGAGAGTGGTGAATTATTATTATAATAAAAAAGAAGCGCTAAACCACAAGGGCTATACAGCGCTTCAGAGCAGGAAGGAAGCAGGGGTATCAGGTGGCAAAAGGGAGAGGGATAATTAGTAGGATACGGAGAACAGCGGAGCAGTGGATAGTACAGGGGTAGAGATTGAGGTAGAAAGGGCTGAGGGGAGTGCGAAAGGTATCGTCATCAGATTTTTTGGAGTAAGTCGGCTGTTGTCAAGAAGTCAATGAGAGAGTCAGGATTAAAGGAGGGTCCATCAGCATGAAGGGAAGGTAAAGAGATAGTAGAGCAGAGACGACGTTGGAGGTAAATTCTGCGTGCTCGTTAATAGAGAGGGCAGTCTAACAGAATGTGGCTAACCGATACTGGAACCTGACACGTCTCACAGAGAGGAACAGGGTGCCTCTCCATGAGATACCCATGAGTAAGACCAGTGTGGTGAAGCAATGTAAAAAGAGAGCAAATGAGAGAGTGGGTGAGATGTTATCAACAAATTTTGTTGAAAATAAGAAAAAGTTTTGGAGTAATATTTATAAGTTGAGAAAGCCTAGGGAACAAATGGATTTGACAGTTAAAAATAGGAGAGGAGAGTTATTAAATGAAGAGTTAGAGGTATCGGGAAGATGGAGGGAATATTTTGAGGAATTGTTAAATGTTGATGAAGATAGGGAAGCTATGATTTCGTGTATAGGGCAAGGAGGAATAACATCTTGTAGGAGTGAGGAAGAGCCAGTTGTGAGTGTGGGGGAAGAACGTGAGGCAGTGCGTAAAATGAATGGGGGTAAGGCAGCTGGGATTGACGGGATAAAGATAGAAATGTTAAAAGCAGGAGGGGATATAGTTTTGGAGTGGTTGGTGCTATTATTTAATAAATGTATGGAAGAGGGTAAGGTACCTAGGGATTGGCAGAGAGCATGCATAGTTCCTTTGTATAAAGGCAAAGGGGATAAAAGAGAGTGCAAAATTTATAGGGGAATAAGTCTGTTGAGTATACCTGGTAAAGTGTATGGTACAGTTATTATTGAAAGAATTAAGAGTAAGACAGAGAGTAGGATAGCAGATGAACAAGGAGGCTTTAGGAAAGGTAGGGGGTGTGTAGACCAAGTGTTTACAGTGAAACATATAGGTGAACAGTATTTAGATAAGGGTAAAGAGGTTTTTGTGGCATTTCTGAATTTAGAAAAGGCATATGACAGAGTGGATAGGGGGGCAATGTGGCAGATGTTGCAGGTTTATGGTATAGGAGGTAGGTTACTGAAAGCAGTGAAGAATTTTAACGAGGATAGTGAGGCTCAGGTTAGAGTATGTAGGAGAGAGGGAGATTATTTCCCAGTAAAAGTAGGCCTTAGACAATGATGTGTGATGTCACCTTGGTTGTTTAATATATTTACAGATGGGCTTGTAAGAGAAGTAAATGCGAGGGTCTTGGCAAGAGGTGCGGAGTTAAAAGATAAAGAATCAAACACAAAGATGGAGTTGTCACAGTTGCTCTTTGCTGATGACATGGTGCTTTTGGGAGATTCTGAAGAGAAGTTGCAGAGGTTGGTGGATGAATTTGGTAGGGTATGTAAGAGAAGAAAATTAAAAGTAAATATAGGAAAGAGTAAGGTTATGAGGGTAACAAAAAGATTAGGTGACGAAAGACTGGATGTCAGATTGGAGGGAGAGAGTATGGAGGAGGTTAATGTATTCAGATATTTAGGAGTGGACGTGTCAGCAGATGGGTCTATGAAGGATGAGGTGAATCACAGAATTGATGAGGGGAAAAGAGTGAGTGGTGCACTTAGGAGTCTGTGGAGACAAAGAACTTTGTCCGTGGAAGCAAAAAGGGGGATGTATGAGAGTATAGTTGTACCAACACTCTTGTATGGGTGTGAAGCATGGGTGGTGAATGTTGCAGCGAGGAGAAGGCTGGAGGCAGTGATGTCATGTCTGAGGGCAATGTGTGGTGTGAATATAATGCAGAGAATTCATAGGTTGGAAATTAGGAGGTGTGGGATTACCAAAACTATTATCCAGAGGGCTGGAGAGGGGTTGTTGAGGTGGTTCGGACATTTAGAGGGAATGGAACAAAACAGAATGACTTCGAGAGTGTATAAATCTGTAGTGGAGGGAAGGTGGGGTAGGGGTCGGCCTAGGAAAGTTTGGAGGGAAGGGGTAGAGGAGGTTTTGTGTGCGAGGGGCTTGGACTTCCAGCAAGCGTGCATGACCGCATTTGATAGGAGTGAATGGAGACAAATAGCTTTTAATACTTGATGTGCTGTTGGAGTGTGAGCAAAGTAACATTTATGAAGGGATTCAGGGAAACCGGCAGGCCGGACTTGAGTCCTGGAGATGGGAAGTACAGTGCCTGCACTCTGAAGGAGGGGTGTTAATGTTGCAGTTTAAAAACTGTAGTGTAAAGCACCCTTCTGGCAAGACAGTGATGGAGTGAATGATGGTGAAAGTTTTTCTTTTTCGGGCCACCCTGCCTTGGTGGGAATCGGCCAGTGTGATAATGAAAAAAAATATTATTATTCTCCACTACTTTTCATTTCCTTTAGCACTTTATAAGCATATTCAGTTCCCTCCAATTTTCCTTCTATCTTCTCTACATCCTTCTATATTACTCATTCTCACTCGTGTACTAAAAGCTGGACCTTGATTTATGTAAACCCATTTGATGTAAACAAAAAAAATGTAACTTCGTGAATAAATCTGCTGGTAATCAAGGACCTGAGCGGAAATAAGTTACTTTGACTTCTTGGGTATCATGGGTGATTCACACATGTTCCTTTGTATGATAATTCTGTGTAACTGTATTCGTGTGTATTTGTACCAAATAAGGTTAATGCTAGACTTCCCTCCAGCCATACGACTGTGTATACTCGCGCTGTGTGTGTGTGTGTGTGTGTGTGTGTGTGTGTGTGTGTGTGTGTGTGTGTGTGTGTGTGTGTGTGTGTGTGTGTGTGTGTGTGTGTTGTGTTGTTTACTTGTAATTAATGTCGTTTACACTTCTCTTGGCAGGTAATAAACAGCTGTGGAGGAGCGGCGATGTGGGCGGGGGTGTGGGCGGGGGTGTGGGTGGCGGTGTGGGCGGTGGCCGCTGCTTTAGCAAGTTCGTCCACAAACAACGAAGCTCAGAAAGAATCGAGGAAAACCAAGAATTACAAAGCCAAGAGGAGAGAGACAAGAAAAGTAAGTTAAACTGTTTTACAAATATTAAGAGAAGTTCCCGGCATGTACATGAGCAAAAAATCCTCAAGTATATTACAAAATTACGACATGTCAGGTAGGTTGATAACACATACGAAGGCAATTGAGTTTGACAAAAGACGGTAACAATATTAAATAGCTCTCATTAAAATCTTAAATTTTAAAGGGGTGGACCGGCAAGCCATTGGAAGGCCTCGGTCATATGACTAAAACTCGAGTCAGGAAACACTAGTCCTGTTTCCTAACGAATCTCACCTAACTTTTTGCAAGAACGACTGGTATTTCCAGTGTGGGCAGTAAGGCAAAAACACCAGAATTTCTTTACTGCGGTCTCATGGCGGCTCTGGTTGGAAGGAGACTCGAAGACCTGTTTAGGTAAAGCGTTTATTTTTTATCACTAATTTTACCTCTGAGGAGGACTGATGGATTTCTTAGAAGGTTTAGCTCCCCCATTGTTTAAACTACTATATGATTTAAGAGGGTGATAAGCAAAGCCGGATTAAAATTTTGTAGGCCCCTGGGTTACAGGTACTGTGAGGCCTCCAGTGGTATTTTGTAGGCCCCTTGGGGGAGGCCCTCCAGCTGGCAGAGGCTCTCCACCTCCAGCTGGCGGAGGCCCTCCAGCTGGCGGAGGCCTTCCAGCTGGCGGAGGACCTCCAGCTGGCGGAGGGCCTCCAGCTGGCGGAGGACCTCCAGCTGACGGAGGACCTCCAGCTGGCGGAGGACCTCCAGCTGGCAGAGGCCCTCCAGCTGGCGGAGGCTTTCCAGCTGGCGGAGGCCCTCCAGCTGGCGGAGGCCCTCCAGCTGGCGGAGGCCTTCCAGCTGGCGGAGGCCCTGCAGCTGACGGAGGCGCCTGGTCTGCAGCCCCTATATGCCTTAATCCGGTCCTGGTGATAACTGATGAATGCTAGGATTCTTTTCGTTGATTTTTACATCCTAGATTCTTGCAAGCGTAAATTATAGTAAAATCATCTCTTAGAAAAGTTGAGCCATAGCTGCTTTACCTGCTTTAGCATTTTAAGATACTTTATCTGTATCATTGCAGCGCTCATCCTGGCGCAGATCAATCCCACTCAGTGTACCACCAACGACGCCATCCACACACTGGGGACCTGTATGCCGCTCGTTGAATGCAGAAGCACAGGAGGCGTAGCTAAAGGTTATTGTGTTAGTGGACTGGCCGTCTGTTGCTTAGGTAAGTATACAAACATCAATAAGTCGGTCTCCGGCTACGGGACCAGAGTTTCTCGTAAGGAAGTACGAGTGGATTACATCACATGGGTTTAAAATTTTTATTAAAGCATCAACACACAATTTCATCGTGTTACATACACAGTAATTTTATTATAAGTTACCCCTCCACTGCTGTCTCCATATGACCGCCTAGTAGTGGCCCGGTGGCCTGGTGGCTAAAGCTCCCGCTTCACACACGGAGGGCCCGGGTTCGGTTCCCGGCGGGTGGAAACATTTCGACACGTTTCCTTACATTGTCCTGTTCACCTAGCAGCAAATAGGTACCTGGGTGTTAGTCGACTGGTGTGGGTCGCATCCTGGGGGACAAGATTGAGGACCCCAATGGAAATAAGTTAGACAGTCCTCGATGACCCACTGACTTGCTTGGGTTATCCTGAGTGGCTAACCCTCCGGGGTTAAAAATCCGAACGAAATCTTATCTTATCTTATTTGACCGATAAATTGACTTAAAAAGAGACGTTAGCAAACACTAGCGCCTCGGTCCTTGGACCTTGATCACTTCTAACACAAAGGTCGAAAATAGCAGCACATATGGGCTGAAAGTGAGTTGAATCACATAGTGACCTGAAAACTGCAAAGGAAGTCTTTCTTGAGATAAAGTCAGATAGACAATGTCACGTTGATTCCTGCATCCTTGTCACCTTGCTTCCCTGTCACCTTGCTTCCCTGTGACCTTGCTTCCCTGTGACCTTGCTTCCCTGTCACCTTGCTTCCCTGTCACCTTGCTTCCCTGTGACCTTGCTTCCCTGTGACCTTGCTTTCTTGTGACCTTGCTTCCCTGTGACCTTGCTTCCCTGTGACCTTGCTTCCCTGTGACCTTGCTTCCCTGTGACCTTGCTTTCTTGTGACCTTGCTTCCCTGTGACCTTGCATCCTTGTGACCTTGCTTCCCTGTGACCTTGCATCCTTGTGACCTTGCTTCCCTGTGACCTTGCATCCTTGTGACCTTGCTTTCCTGTGACCTTGCATCCTTGTGATCTTGCTTCCCTGTGACCTTGCTTCCTTGTGACCTTGCTTCCCTGTGACCTTGCATCCTTGTGACCTTGCTTCCCTGTGACCTTGCATCCTTGTGACCTTGCTTTCCTGTGACCTTGCATCCTTGTGATCTTGCTTCCCTGTGACCTTGCTTCCTTGTGACCTTGCATCCCTGTGACCTTGCTTCCCTGTGACCTTGCTTCCCTGTGACCTTGCTTCCCTGTGACCTTGCTTTCTTGTGACCTTGCTTCCCTGTGACCTTGCTTCCCTGTGACCTTGCTTTCTTGTGACCTTGCTTCCCTGTGACCTTGCTTCCCTGTGACCTTGCTTTCTTGTGACCTTGCTTCCCTGTGACCTTGCTTCCCTGTGACCTTGCTTCCCTGTGACCTTGCTTCCCTGTGACCTTGCTTCCCTGTGACCTTGCTTCCCTGTGACCTTGCATCCTTGTGACCTTGCTTCCCTGTGACCTTGCTTCCCTGTGACCTTGCTTCCCTGTGACCTTGCATCCTTGTGACCTTGCTTCCCTGTGACCTTGCATCCTTGTGACCTTGCTCCCCTGTGACCTTGCTTCCCTGTGACCTTGCTTCCTTCCCTGTGACCTTGCCTTCCCTGTGAATTTGCTTCCCTGTGGCCCTGCATCCTTGTGACCTTGCTTCCCTGTGACCTTGCTTCCCTGTTAACTTGCATCCTTGTGACCTTGCTTCCCTGTGACCTTGCTTCCGTGACCTTGCTTCCGTGACCTTGCTTTCCTGTGACCTTGCTTCCCTGTGACCTTGCTTCCCTGTGACCTTGCTTTCTTGTGACCTTGCTTCCCTGTGACCTTGCTTCCCTGTGACCTTGCTTCCCTGTGACCTTGCTTCCCTGTGACCTTGCTTCCCAGTGACCTTGCATCCTTGTGACCTTGCTTCCCTGTGACATTGCATCCTTGTGACCTTGCTTCCCTGTGACCTTGCTTCCCTGTGACCTTGTTTCCTTGTGACCTTGCTTCCCTGTGGCCCTGCATCCTTGTGACCTTGCTTCCCTGTGACCTTGCTTCCCTGTGACCTTGCATCCTTGTGACCTTGCTTCCCTGTGACCTTGCTTCCCTGTGACTTTGCATCCTTGTGACCTTGCTTCCCTGTGACCTTGCTTCCCTGTGACCTTGCATCCTTGTGACCTTGCTTCCCTGTGACCTTGCTTCCCTGTGACCTTGCTTCCCTGTGACCTTGCATCCCTGTGACCTTGCTTCCCTGTGACCTTGCTTCCCTGTGACCTTGCTTCCCTGTGACCTTGCTTCCCTGTGACCTTGCTTTCCTGTGACCATGCTTCCGTGACCTTGCTTCCCTGTGACCTTGCTTCCCTGTGACCTTGCTTCCCTGTGACCTTGCATCCTTGTGACCTTGCTTCCCTGTGACCTTGGTTCCCTGCGACCTTGCATCCTTGTGACCTTGCTTCCCTGTGACCTTGCATCCTTGTGACCTTGCTTCCCTGTGACCTTGCTTCCCTGTGACCTTGCTTCCCTGTGACCTTGCTTCCCTGTGACCTTGCTTCCGTGAGCTTACTTCCCTGTGACCTTGCTTCCCTGTGACCTTGCTTCCCTGTGACCTTGCTTCCCTGTGACCTTGCTTCCATGTGACCTTGCTTCCCTGTGACCTTCCTTCCCTGTGACCTTGCTTCCCTGTGACCTTGCTTCCATGTGACCTTGCTTCCCTGTGACCTTGCTTCCCTGTGACCTTGCTTCCCTGTGACCTTGCTTCCGTGACCTTGCTTCCCTGTGACCTTGCTTCCCTGTGACCTTGCTTCCCTGTGACCTTGCTTCCCTGTGACCTTGCTCCGTGACCTTTCTTCCCTGTGACCTTGCTTCCCTGTGACCTTGCTTCCCTGTGACCTTGCTTCCCTGTGACCTTGCTTCCCTGTGACCTTGCTTCCCTGTGACCTTGCTTCCCTGTAACCTTGCTTCCGTGACCTTGCTGTCCCTGTGACCTTGCTTCCCTGTGACCTTGCTTCCTGTGACCTTGCTTCCCTGTGACCTTGCTTCCCTGTGACCTTGCTTCCGTGACCTTGCTTCCCTGTGACCTTGCTTCCCTGTGACCTTGCTTCCCTGTGACCTTGCTTCCCTGTGACCTTGCTTCCATGTGACCTTGCTTCCCTGTGACCTTGCTTCCCTGTGACCTTGCTTCCCTGTGACCTTGCTTCCCTGTGACCTTGCTTCCCTGTGACCTTGCTTCCCTGTGACCTTGCTTCCCTGTGACCTTGCTTCCATGTGACCTTGCTTCCCTGTGACCTTGCTTCCCTGTGACCTTGCTTCCATGTGACCTTGCTTCCCTGTGACCTTGCTTCCCTGTGACCTTGCTTCCCTGTGACCTTGCTTCCCTGTGACCTTGCTTCCCTGTGACCTTGCTTCCCTGTGACCTTGCTTCCCTGTGACCTTGCTTCCATGTGACCTTGCTTCCCTGTGACCTTGCTTCCATGTGACCTTGCTTCCCTGTGACCTTGCTTCCATGTGACCTTGCTTCCCTGTGACCTTGCATCCTTGTGACCCTGCTTCCCTGTGACCTTGCTTCCCTGTGACCTTGCTTCCATGTGACCTTTTGTTTTCTCTTATCCGTGTCGTAAAAATAACTTTCCATTCTCTTACATCCATTTAATTACTACGCATGATGCTATCGTGTTTTCTTTCCTCATATCAGCCTTTCCTCTTGAATTCGGTTGGTAGCGCACTCAGTGCACACATTGATGTCCGGGGTCGATCCCCGGTACGGGTGGAAACACTATGGTGTGTTTCCTTAATACACCTGCTGTCCATGTTCACCTAGAAGTAAACATGTACCCGGGTGTTTGTCGACTGGTGTGGGTCGCATCCTGGGGCTTTCTGTATAGTATGTCACTAATGTGAGCTATGGTCTGTAAAAGTTGCATCATGTATTTGTGGAAATAAATATTATTATTATTATTATTATTATTATTATTATTATTATTATTATTATTATTATTATTATTATTATTTTGTGTATTTTTTCAGGATTTGACACACACATTAAGCGCATATTTCACCTTTGGCCTAATATAAGTTATAATCCTTATTATCGTTTGATTAACTAAAGTGTAACGAGCACTTATCAGTGCTGAGTAATAACCCACATGGAGATAAAAACTCAGAGGATTAATTAATGTGTATATTTCGATCCCCTTCTGGGATCTTCTTCAGTTCTTCATTCATATAGTGTAGCAGATGAATTTCCCTCAGTTTAGTATTATTTTCAAGTGGTATAATTTCTGCTAAAACACCTCTGAAGTTCTCTCTTTTTATCTGGTATGCTGTATAGCCCTTGTGGTTTAGCGCTTCTTTCTGGCTATAATAATAATTTTATCTGGTATTTTCAATATTCTGCCAGAGACTGTATTCTTTATGTGGCCTGATCCCCCCCCCCTTCCTTTTGCCTGGTCACTGTTTTGGACACTATGTGCTTAATAAATCAGACACATGTGCAACACTTATGTATCTTTAATGATGAAACGTTTCGCCACACAGTGGCTTCATCAGTCTATACGAAGGAGAATGGTGAAGAACAGGAGGAGTTTGTGGTAATCAGTCCCTCAGCCTTGAGTCAACGTTATCAGTTCATCTATCTTGAAAAAACTGATAGACTGATGTTAAGGAATATAGAGATAAACACTATGATAACCTATGTGGCATGTCAAGATATCTTATTAATGAAAATAAGATACCAGATATATTAAGCAAATTTCTTATAGCTGCCTATAACAGATAACTGAACTATAGATATAAATCCAGATGTACTTCTGTAAACCCTTTTGGGGCCTAGTTCCTAGGCCTATTGTGTATCCACATGCTCTTGCGCTACCCTCCATAGGATGGATATCGAACGCACAATAAACTAGCCACTTTGATGGCAATATAAAAAAATTTTAATCTTTGCATTGTATCTATCTACATTAAATTACATTATCGAACCATTATATTATGCGCTTAATTTATTCAGATCATCTTGGTAATATTTACAGTCATTTTTATCATTTATTTTTTCTCCCTCTTGTTCCCTCTCGCCTATACATATTGGCCTCCCTTACTCTTGTCTGTTTGTGTGAGTTTGTAAATGGTCCAAGTCGAACCGAGACGTCGCCTAAGCTTCTCTCTCCTATGTGTGGGTTATGTCTAATATTTTCTTTATCTGCAAGCAGTTTCAAACCTTAGCACTTGCTGGGATTAAATTCAAGTAATTGCTTGTCTGACCAGATCTGCAGTGTGTCCATCTCAATTTGAAGTCCTGTAGTGTGTGTGCGTGCGTGTGTGTGTGTGTGTGTGTGTGTGTGTGTGTGTGTGTGTGTTGTGTGTGTGTGTGTGTGTGTGTGTGTGTGTGTGTGTGTGTGTGTGTGTGTGTGTGTTGTTAGTTAGTTAGTTACCATTTTGTCCTAGGCACATGTCGATTAGACACTAGGCCTGTTGTGGGTGTGTGTGTGTGTGTGTGTGTGTGTGTGTGTGTGTGGTGTGTGTGTGTGTGTGTGTGTGTGTGTGTGGTGTGTGTGTGTGTGTGTGTGTGTTGTGTTGGTGTGTGTTTGTTAGTTAGTTAGTTACCATTTTGTCCTAGGCAAATGTCGATTAGCATCTATGAGCCTTGGGTGTGAGTGTGTGTATGTGATGTGTTGTGTGTGTGAGTGTGTGTGGTGTGTGTGTGTGGTGTGGTGTTGTGTGTGGTGTGTGTGTGTGTGGTGTGTGTGTGTGTGTGTGTGTGTGTGTGGTGTTTAAACTATAAAGGTAACTGCATCTCTCTGCTCTCCCCACCAGCCACAAGGACGTGTAACACGGCTACCAGACAAAACAATACCTACTTCGTCAACCCCAGCAGCCCAGAGTTAACCTGTCCACTCACTATCAATCTAATGAGCAACAACATCTGCCAATTGAGATTAGACTTCATTGAATTCATCCTCTCCCAACCCAGCAGTGACAGTGTCTGTGACACAGAGCTGCTGATAGTCAGCGGTGGGTCGTCTAATTTGCCAGCGATCTGTGGCACCATGACTGGTCAACACAGTAAGTAAGATAAGTAAGACATATGTGCAACAGTTAGGTATCTTTATTCCGAAACGTTTCGCCTACACAGTAGGATTCTTCAGTCGAGTACAGAAGAGTTATCAGAAGCAGTAGAGATGTGAAGACAAGGGTGATGGCTGTCATTACCTTTGAAGACTACGATCGACTGTCATCAATCTATCACCCTTGAAAACGTAGACCGATTACATCGTCTTCACATCTCTACTGCTTCTGATAACTCTTCTGTACCCGACTGAAGAAGCCTACTGTGTAGGCGAAACGTTTTGGAATAAAGATACCTAACTGTCGTACATATGTCTCACTTATCAGCTCGTCGGTATTATTTACCATTTTCATAATAACAGTGAATTGTGCCACTGACCTACAGACCAAACTGCAGATATTGTGTACAAATAAAGCGAAAAATATAATTCACGCAGTACATGTAATGTATAAATTCTGAAGCCACTAGCTACACTAGCATTTTTCCAATGAACACACACACACACACACACACACACACACACACACACACACACACACACACACACACACACACACACACACACACACACACACACACACAGTAACAAGGGGACACAGTTGGAAGTTGAAGACACAGATGAATCAAAGGGATGTTAGGAAGTATTTCTTCAGCCACAGAGTAGTCAGGAAGTGGAATAGTTTGGGAAGCGATGTAGTGGAGTCAGGATCCATACATAGCTTTAAGCAGAGGTACGATAAAGCTCATGGTTCAGGGAGAGTGACCTAGTAGCGACCAGTGAAGAGGCGGGGCCAGGAGCTTGGACTCGACCCCTGCAACCTCAACTAGGTGAGTACAACTAGGTGAGTACACACACTTTTTTTAATCCAAGCAAGGGGATAGATAAGCAGCCTTGAACTACACTCCTGTATCTGAAATATGTATACTGAGGTAATGGAGAAGATAATGAGTGGGACAGAAAACTAGAAGAGACAGCCACCACTGTACAATTACCATATATATCAATGAATATACACTGACTGCTTATAATAGACCATTCTTCAGGGATGAAAATATCCTTGTCTGGAATTAACAGGTGACATACATCCTATATATCCTATGTCTTATGTTCTGTTGAGTTTTTCTTACGTTCTTATGGGTAAAAGGGGATGGATCTAAGTGGAACTTGCACATGAGTTCATAAGACTTATCAAAGCTTATTCCTTGGGTAGCGTTGAAAGTGAGTTGGGCAAATATTTTTATTAAGTGTGTCTGGGTTTGAGAAGGACTTGCCTATTATGGCCCAGTAGGCCTCCTCCGGTCTTCCTCCTTTCTTATGTTCGTGTAGTTGATAGGTTTTAAGTGCCATTAGCTGACCTTATCAATCAACATTTGTTTAAAGTAGGTAAATCGTATCCCTTACATAATGCTCAACGCTTTGGCCAGGACTGTAAACAAAACAATACATTAAAATGATATACATAATTTAAATAATTGAGAAATAACAAATATAAATTCCTAGAAAACATACAAATTTGTTGTATAATCTTAGTTTAATCGGTTCATTGAGAACTCAGAGGACTGGTGAGATTGAAATCCATGACAGATCAATCCTAAAAGTTCCTTAACAAACTACAGAACAAGTGAGGTTAAACCTAAAACTCACTCGCTAATAGTTCAAACCGCACCCGTTCCGTGGTTTGTTTGCAATCTTGTTATTACGATATCGTGAGTCTAAAAGTTCCTTCACTGACTGCTGAATGACACTGCACCTTCCTTAGCCAATTATGACAGTTATCACCTTTGATTCCACGTTTTGTCCAGTATACTACACGGTGGATCAAAGTGTTGGTCCTGTGAAGCTGACCATTGATCGCAAGGACCTGACGTCTTCGGGTAACGTCTGGAACATTAAGGTCACACAGATTCCATGTGACTCCAGGTACCGAGGTAACGTTTCTCATGAAGAATTAGACACATGTGCAACATCTGGGTATCTTTAGTGTAGACGTTTCGCCATCCAGTGGCTTTATCAATACAAATTCAAGGACATAATGGGAAGACTGTAGAACTATATTTAAAATATGAGGTAATCAGTCCCTCAGCCTTGGAGTTGGTGAAGAGCACCGTAGTCTTGAAGACTCTTTAATTAGTCTTGAAGACTCTTTAATTAGTCTTGAAGACTCTTTAAGTAGTCTTGAAGACTCTTCAAGTAGTCTTGAAGACTCTTCAAGTAGTCTTGAAGACTCTTCAAGTAGTCTTGAAGACTCTTCAAGTAGTCTTGAAGATTCTTCAAGTAGTCTTGAAGACTCTTCAAGTAGTCTTGAAGATTCTTCAAGTAGTCTTAAAGACTCTTCAAGTAGTCTTGAAAACTTTTCTAATCTTGAAGACTCTTCGGTACTCTTCACCTCCAAGGCTGAAGGACTGATTACCTCATCTTTTAAATATAGTTTAGTCTTCACATTATGTCCTTGAATTGTATTGATAAAGTCACTGGATGGCGAAACGTCAACAATAAAGATATCCAGATGTTGCACATGTGTTTCAATCTTCATCTTGTTGGTACTGTATACAATTCATTTACAAGCATTCTCATGTAAACAAATCTCGTATTTATTAGTGCTTAGCGCATGTCCCACGTTAGAACTTCAATCTCTTTCCTGGTTAAAGATTTACAATAGATATGACCACTATAATACACTTTTCTACCATACTTAACAACGATACATGTGCAATCCTTGAGTACATTTAGTACGGAGACGTTCCGCCAACCAGCAGTTTTATCAGTAATGTGTGAAAATACTGTATATTTTCCGAAAATACAGTGCATTTTGTATGTAAATTAGTGAAATACATTGTAGTTAATAAAAATTAATTTGTAAATAGAAAAATGAACCAGCGAAAGTGGGTTAGCGTCGCCTGGGTGAGACGCCATTGTTTTGAACTGGGCAAAGGCACACTAGTGAAGTGTGCATGAATTTCGTCGCTCTGAGGGTTAAATTGTGGTTGAAACCTCCCAAATAGGAGCAGAAATTGTTGGAATTGCAGTCCTGCAGAACTTGAGAAGGCAGGTGGACAGGACAATCAGGGAACCCCAGCTAAGTCGTGTCTATATTTTATGTTAAAATTCTGGCCAGTATTTTCTTCATATTTTAGGCAGGGGTTTGTGTACGACACACCAAGTAATCTCCAGACTAATTGGTGAGTGGTATTAAGATAAATTCTCCTTCAATGTATATGTAGTCATTTTTTTAAATTTAATATACAGTCCACATATTTATATTAATGTTGTACCAGAATTCCTGGAGATGTATATTTCATTTGAAATTAATATAAGTCCAGAGTGACTTGTGGAGATATGAGTGGAGTAGGTATCGAAGGAGGACATTTTTTGCGACCTAGGATGTCCTAAAATTCCTACATGTCTCTGTAACCTTGATAAAGAATAATTATCTTCGTTACTTATATAAAATTACTAATATGTATCTAATGAGATTTATCCAGGTAATGTTAATATTCCATAAGTTGAATACAGAGATGAGCTAGAGACAGCATATGTGTTAATGTTGCAGTTTTATAACTGTAGTGTAAAGCGCACCTCTAGCAAGACAGTGATGGAGTGAAAGATGATGAAAGTTTTTCTTTTTCGGGTCACCCTGCCTTGGTGGGAATCGGCCGATGTGTTAATAAAAAAATAATATCCCTCAGCCTTGATAGGTGCTCTGGTGGTTTGCCTTGGTTGGATTGATCAAGGCTGAGAGTTGATAAATTAGACACATGTGGAACACTAGGGTATCTTTAACGAGGAAACGTTTCGTCACACAGTGGCGTCATCAGTCCATACAAAGAAGAATTTTGACGATGAGGAGTTCGAGGTAATCAGTCATCAATCTTGAAAAAATACAGCATGTGCGTGAAGGAGTGGCATATGTGTCTAATTTATCAAATTGTCGGTTCTCTGAACCATTTATCTATAAAGCTGAGAAATGATTCCTTCGTCTCTCATTATCTCTAGTTCATGGTCTCTCTACTAAATCGATAAAGTCACTGGTTGGCGAAACGCCTTTATAAGAAAGAGACTTAGTGGTCTCACATGTCTCTCACTCCTCTCTCTCACACCATTAGTTACAGCATCTACCCTACGTATCGACAATATCTCCCATCTTACCTCAATCTCATACCTGACACCCATTACATTCAGAAGGGTTGTGTCTCATGGCATATGCCATCCAATGAGAAATAATCACCCATATCGTATGTCAAATGTCTCTCCCTACATATGGCGCTAACAGCCCCTGAAGGGTGCCTGCAGTACTACACACAAGCTCAAGGTACTATCAACAGCTTTAACTACGCCAACACGGCCACTGTTCCTATCCAGGCAGGTGAGTGTCGGTACGTGGTCAGTACGTGTACTTAACTTGATATTTATATACAGTTACTGGTTCTAAACGGTATTCATATATATATATATATATATATATATATATATATATATATATATATATATATATATATATATATATATATATATATATATATATATATATATATATATATATATATATAATATATATATATATATATATATATATATATATATTAATAGTATATAAACATGTACATAGAGTTTATATAATTGTATACAAACAGGTATATAAACGGTGAGGCAAAATATATATACTTTGTGGAGTTGCAAAGTGAAATTATTATTATTATTATTATTATTATTATTATTATTATTATTATTATTATTATTGTGCTTACGGATTTAAGGTATAAATTTATATTATTATTATTATTATTATTATTATTATTATTATTATTATT